TCACTCAACGTGAAAGTCCCACTGTGACGCCATATTGTTTACTCTCATTGGTATTCCCGTAGTATGTGAACCAAGATGGCGGACATCGGAACGTAGTATGTGTACCGGGTTAGGTCATAATTTCAGGTACGAATACTACGGGAGTCATTTGGCTAGTCTCCAAACTCGTAATAAACTAAAATAAGGAAAGTTGGAATAAATTTAGGCCTAACCCTAATCTGGCACACATACTACGTTCCGGTGTCCGCCATCTTAGTGCACATACTACGGGAGCGCCCTCTCATTTGCTTCGTAGTGGTTTTCAGCTCTTAGTAAAAGATATTATGGCGTCATGAATAGTTTTTTTCACATTTGCCTAAAATTAAAAATTGCAGTAATACATAAGTATATATAGTTAATTAAGAAGCTTAAAGCTGTAATAAAACGCCATGGTACCAGAAAACGTAAAGTCACAATACCATTGCAGCCACAACTTTTCAAAAGCATATAAATGGGTGATCTCTTCAGAATCCAAATAATAACTCAAAAATTTTTGGGATCGCATTTTGACATTTCATTTAGGTACTTTGTTACATGTCATAAACTCTCTACTGCTTCCGGAGCGTAAATTGTCCATATTCATTTGTATATTTTTCATTTAGCATATTTCAACTTTAGGTTATTTAATGGGCCGTCATCACATACATAAACCTACGATTGCCACTTTCAACACTTATGAAACAGCGTAAAAGAAAATTACCAGTGTACTTCTGTGTATTTGTTTTTATATTAGTCATTAACTCTTTCGCAAAGTATCTATAATTTTAAAAATCCCGAAAATTAACACTATTTTAACGCCTGAATTAAGGCTGCTTGGAAATTTTCAATCGCCGTCGGGACACGGCCTATTTCAAAATCGAATTCGTTCGTCAAATACTGACCTTTATGCCTGAGTATTTCAGATATAAAGGAATACTCGAGTAATGGTTTGGGCAACTTTATGATATTTTTTAACTGAAATGAGATTGTTTACATTTTCAAAGTTTGCAGAGTGCAATTGGCGAAACGCCTTTTGTGATAAACGACATTTACACTCGCTTTCACTTCGTGTGATAAATGTTATGACACATAATAGGGCGTCCAAAGTTGAAATTGTACAAACTAAATTACGCGGAACCTCGATTCGGACTGTTTAAGCAAATGTTTTGTAGTTGGAGCAACATAATGATACAGATGAACTTTTTCTGAAAAGCAAAGTAACGCCCAGTAACAGGGGGACCGGGAGCTTCTTTGTTTACGTGGTTATCGAGCGATAGTTCAAAATTTAACTTTGTGTCATGAGTCTAGTTCAAGACAGCTAAAGCTACTTGTTGGCAGCTAAACGCTTAATGCAGTCGAGGTGATATTTGAGAATGTAATACTGCTTTTATAGTCGTACTTTTGTTAAACAGGTAATTTTCAGTTATAAAATATATACTGATGCATAATTCCTGAGAATCCCTTTGGATCCGATCAGTTTCGTGAAGTCAATAATCTGCTATTTAGATATATATATAATATAATTTATTTCTATTTTCAACCGCCGTGATATTATATAATATTATTAATATTACAGAAATCATCATGTCACATGCAGTATTTATGATAATTTATTGAGAAAAGCTTTTATAATTATGTGGGAATCATTGGCAAGATAGGCTTAACGTTAGAAAATATTCTACGAACTTGTGTATTAATATTTATCTGCATTAATTATGAATATATATCTCAATTAATGATTAATATGATCCCATGATAAGGTTTCTAATGAAATACCTGGCAGCTCCAACATATGCATGAAAGTTTCACCGTGGAAAATTAGAAATCAATTCAAGCAAATGGTTTGGTACACTGCAATTAGTGGATTATGCATGCGTGGGTAAACCATCTGGTTTACAGCTGAATTCGAACACATTCAACACTAAATAAGAAAATATGGCGTCAAGCAACGTCTGACAAACAACAAATATATATTTTTTAATTTTACTCTGATGAAAACATTTTGAAAATGTTGAAAGTTTTGATAATTTATAATTAACTTTAATACTAAACTAAAGTTCTAAACCATCATTCATTATCTAGCATAGAGTATCGCAAATTTTGCAATGCAGTTGAACACCTTTGAAAAATGTATGTCTACAAAATTGAATAATGTATTAATTCAACTTATTAGTAAATATCATTTGGATATTTCAAATTTGATCTATTTTACGGGTTTGGAGTATTCGAAACAAATATACGTGCAATTGTTTCATTGAATGGGTCGTTATTGATTGCTAGATGAAAACTTTCTTAAATCGCGTTTTTAATTTTTAGTCTGCCAAAACAACCTTGGGACCTCCTGAAGTATGCGCACCAAGATGGCGCACAACCTGAACTCAGGTTGTGTACCAGGTTAGGGTTCAGGTTATGCGACATCTTGGTGCGCATACTTCAGGAGTACCCAACCTTGAATATTTGAGATTATTACCTATAAAACTGTAATTTGAACCTATGTTTTCAATACACACTATTGTCTCATTGTTTTAATACACACAGAAGGAAATATTATTCCTAAGACGTGTTCAATTTGCGCTCCTCAAAAAGACAAAATATTCAATCGTACGCAATTCGTCCAAACTTATAGTGATGTAACATCTCTCCTTGTCATTGGGCCGAGTTTCACATTATTTAAATTTCCCATTTTCCTGAACGTTGTTCATCTTTGTAGTGCAAAATTATAAAACTGTGAACTTCAACATTATTGCGTCACAAATACATATTATTGCATTTAACACTTGTGCCGCACAGATACAAATAGTTACAATATATTTGAATAAAAGAATAGAAAGAAGCTCTTTCCATTGAAGTACCGAAATTGACCTCATTTTTGTTAACAACAAGCTGTATTACCACTGGTGAATCTGAAAATAGGTTTTGATTGTACGTCTAGCTTGTGTAAACTATATAAAAACAAATTTTAATTACTATTTTATAGAAACTTGCCAAGTGTACCGCACTAATTAGTATTCTTCACAACAGGCCTTTGTCCTTGTATCGTTTTGCACGTGGATGTAGTAAATATCTTTGTCGTGGGATTTAATTAAACGCCAATAATTATATATCGAGTAAATAAATGTTTTTGGTTAAATACACAAACGATAATTATGTATAAATATCCGGCGATAACCACCATGTTCACCGCTGACTGAGCCGGACACATCTGCATGTCAAGCTTACCCAAAACATACACAGGCAGACTGCATGCGAATAAATTAATCACACGTTACGATCGGAAGTGCTAGAGTGCATGCGACTGGTAAATATGTCGTTCTGCAGTATGGGGTTGTTAAACGTACCCGCTACAATGCTTGATTCGATTTCAATCATATACAAAAATAATTCAGAGATTCATATTTTTTATGCAAATCAAAATTATGAAAGTGGTAAGCTGATAAAATTTGAATGTACAGAATTCGTTGTTATAATATTTAGTAGCACAAAGGCGCGTATGGTATATTTTAAACATGTAGGTTGGTTTGCATATTACAGAGGACTGGCGGCGATTACTTTCATCTGAATAGGTTAATAGCATAATTTACAGAAAATCCAGCCGTCGATTGACAATTTGAAACAGCTGTGTATAATATTTTTTTGTCTTCAAATGACGTCATCGCCTGAAGATTGTATTCTATGCAACTGTTATAATGAATAGTTTGCGGAAACACAAAGGCAAAAACTGAAGATAATTAAACAGTCGACAGCAACAAGAATAAATTTACAAGCTCAATAGATAATTAACAATATAATGTAGGTATTGATAACTGTTTGCCATTCACAACTTTAAAGTGATTTTCAATTGTCGAAATAAAACATGAAAAATCATGCAACAAAAAAGAAAATTTACGATAAAATTATTTTTAACATTTAACATTTTAACAAACGCAGGTGGTTTTAAAATTAAAAATAGTATTAATTCTCTGTAATTACAGAACATACTGTAAACGCATTTTCTTAGAGTACTGTGTGGTTTATGTTTTGTTAAGATGGTATATATTGTATACAACTTAAGATACAAGCAGCTTTGAGTAATTTTTACAAAAAAACAAACGGAAATTACAAATGTCTTTTCTAATAGATACTTGGTATATACACTAGCTTTCATCCTATATGAAATCGGAGGGGTCTTGCACAAAGAAACACAAGATGACTAAATATTAGAACAATGTCATTCGTATTTTTATTCATATTTCAGAATATGATCGAACTCATGCAATTCGTTCCTCACTTTTGTCCGATCTAACTATATTAGTTATCCCTGCATATCGGTAATTGCCCACTTTATTTAATTAATATTGAATTACCACGGATTGTGATTAATTTGTTTGTGAAAGCGTGACAATTTTATTGCTCTTATATAAACAATATCATTCTACCCATTTCACACCTACGATAATTAACGACAGTCCGATTTGTTTATTTGTACGACGACCCGAAAAGATTATATTCTGCGAACAAAAGAAGACACTTTTCGAAACAGTTGATTCCTTTGTGTGCAAGCGGACGAATTCGTTTTGACAGCGGTTCCGACATAAGTATCTCTTATAGGAAGGGATTTGTGTGGTGCATGTGTTTTGATAGCGTTTTATAGCGTGCACAATCTGCCATGAAAAGTGTGTTTCAATCCTTCTCACTTGAGGCGTATAGCTTTACTTAAACAAACAAAGAATCACTGCACGCACGCTCTCATAGTTTTCTCTCTCATCTTAGGCGCAAAAAACGCAATAGAACTATGTACGCTACACGCGCAGGTTTATTCACATTTTTTCTCGAAAAAGCTGCGATCTCGAAATAGTTAATATTAAAAAGGAAGATATCGAAAATACAAACCATTCAATAATATGGCGCTCTCGGAGAATGTTCTTTTCTGACTCTAGGAAATACAATTCATGAGAAACTTTTTTGTAAATTGAGACTTTATATAACTTTGCATTAGTCTGATATTTGTTTTAGAAGAAGTATTAGAAGCAATATTTCCAATTACTTGTATGGTTCGTGTCTATAAACAATTGAATTATTTTTTTCTACAGCTTCAATAAAAACCATTGAAAAACAGATAGAATTTATGAATATCTTAATTATGAGTCCGGATATTACGGCGAACGATGCCCAGGTTCCAGAAATGCCAGAATCTACAAAAAGCGAAATGAGTGAATCTAGCGAAGAAATTAATTTTCAAAATAGAAGCATCGAAGATGAAATTTTTGTGAAAGACAGTTCAGGTACGGAAGCCAGTGTTTCTGAGGAAGACGATAACTCCTGCGAAAACGAAATGATAATTGACGTACAAAACGATATCAAAGACAACAGTGAGTTTCAACAAAATGGTGATTGTGCTGCAACATGTGGCAATATCGGTTCAAGCGACGGAAGCCAGGCAGTGGAAAATCAGAAGGACCAAAAGTCAGTCAGCGACAGTACAAGGTATGTCAGACTTTCTAGTACAAAAAATAAATAATTATCAACACGCTATAACCAATCTAAATAAAATGTTCTAATTTGTTTATACAGTCCTCCTTCGAACAAATATGGAAAGAAGCCACCTTATTCGTACAATGCATTGATAATGATGGCCATCCGCCAAAGTCCACAAAAACGCTTGACACTAAGTCAGATTTATCAATTCATCACAACAAACTTCCCGTATTATAAGGAAAACAAACAGGTAAGAAAAGCATCAAAATAATAGAATATTGTGTCAGCCATATTATACGGCCAAAAAAAATTAACTTTACACTTTGAACCGAATTTAATTGTATCTCTGATTTCACACAAATAAAACTTAAACCAAATAATTGAAACAATTTATTGATTATATCATTTTTATATTTACGGTACTATGTGTTTATGATAACAACTTAAAAAAAAACGTTTTCGCGTCTCGCTTATTTGTTTTCGGCTTGTAAAACACCGTGTTTGTTTGTCGCAAAATATATATATGGGATGTAGTCCGTGAAGACTTCGGAGCAGGTTGTCATCTGTCAAATATGTTTGAAAGATTGAATGCTGTTTTTCCGAACAATCCGGTTATAAAGGTAGACTCTGTTCGTTAAAACAATCAAGACGATATTCATATATCAAGCTGAAAAGTACATTTTGCTTTCAGCAATATTTTTAATCAAAAAATAACTTTTGTCAATTTCTAACGGATCCATTTTGTTGCGCGATGTTTGTAGGGACATATTAAACTGGCGGGAAAAATTGTTTGAAATCAGCTTCGACTGGATTTACCGAAACATGTGTCACGAAATCGCAACATACACAAACACTAATTTAAGCTGGAGGCTACTAAAACTTAATTTCATGTTAATATTTCATTGTATACTCATCACCGATAAAGTTTTTTTGACTAATTCGAGAAGAAAAAAAACACTTGAAACAAAAAATAAATTTCTCGAAAATTTTGCAAGGGTGGCGCCAATAATTGTACTTAATTAAAATGTGTTTGAAAAGGCCATCAGATTTGTTTAAATAAAAGTTGTAAAGGTATAATGAAGCTTGAGGTCGCACTGTAATTATATTCTTCACCGCATGTTTCGGGCGATTTGGATTAACAGAATTAAGGCCGTCGCTGTCTATTTTTGATATTGTCGATTTAAGTGCGCGAAAAAGCCGAAAGTTTGTTTACGTGTTTTTATGTTTTTGAGAATCGGGATAATACGGCGGCAAAATTTGTCTGATATCGGATTGTGTCGATATAAGTTACAATACAACATAATAATATATTTTTCTATTTATATCACCATTACAACATAACGAGCTCTTTTCCTAATCAATTTTCAACTAGACTTAACAAAAAATATCAACCATGTTTTTTTTCATCAGGCATGGCAAAATTCGATTCGTCATAACCTCTCTCTCAACAAATGCTTTGTAAAAGTTCCACGACATTATGATGACCCGGGAAAGGTAAACAAACGTTATATTTTGCATTGGCAGAATTGATTATCATTCAACCTCGGATCTAAATCTAACAAAGAAATCTTTTCCGCAGGGCAATTATTGGATGTTGGACCCATCCAGTGACGACGTATACATTGGCAGCAGCACTGGTAAATTGAGAAGACGAAGTTCAAGTGCATCTCAAGCAAGGTTGGCATAATTTCGATTAATCGATCTATTTGTATTGTTTTCTATAGAAAAACGAGAGTAATATAAATTCAACTTTCTTTTATAGGGGTCGCTTGGCACTTCGTCGACGTGCGTTCGCTCAAGTTTTTGGCACAAACGCGTTTGCAGGAGCACTCGGAGGATTCTCAGCTCACGGAAACCGCCTTGGGTTGCCTGTTCCAGCAACAATTCCTTCGGCATTTCCACCGCCACTTGGTATTTTTCCGAGACCCATGCAGATGCCGTCAAACTATAGCAATCCCGAATACACATCCAACGCTCTCGGAAACGGCTCCACCGATGCGGACAATAAATTAGACGAGATGCTTCGCTGTACGACACAAGAACAACAAGCTCAAGTGCTACAAAAGCATTTATCGTTGAAATCTCTTTCACCAAAAGAGCAGACGATACCACAGCATGAATTGTTACCAAACAATGTGCAATTTTGGAATCTTGCGTCTGCGTTACAAGCTTCTCGTGAACGGGCACCTGGAATCAGTTACGCATCTACCCAGCTGTCAGGGGCAATTTCACCCCCTAGCGTGGGTGCCATGACGTCCCATCCATTCTCATTAATAACACACAATAAAAAGTCATCGATCGAACTACCAACTACTCAAAACGATCGTTCTCCATTATTTGACGATACAACTGAGGGACAGAAAATTCACAATGAAGAATTCCTACCACCGCTCTCTACATCAGCAGATACAGATATGAAAAAGAAAAGTAATAACGAAGATTCGCCAAAAGAAAATTTTCAGAGATTTTTTATCAATGCCAAAAAGAACAAAGAACCTGATTTGAGCTACGAAAAGAGCAGTCCGCCAACATCTCCTGTGGTACAGCGTCGACCAAGCAGCGAAACAATAAAAAGTCCAACTTATGCAACACCAAAACCTTCATTCCATCCATATAAATCAATGGCTGAATTGATACTATCGCCTAATTCATATCCAATCCCAACGAATCATGCACCACTAAAACCAACACCATCTTTTACCTCAAGTTATTTAGCTGATGCAGCAACAATACTTTCACAACAAAAAGCTATGCTCGGGTTATCCGCTCTATCTCCTTTGTATTTTCCTTATGTAACCCCAGAAATGGCTGCAGCGGCCGCCGCGTACAATGCGCGTGTTAGTGCGTTTTCCTCCGAGGCTCAGCGTCATTATACTCCGTCGTTATTTAACCCGTTTTCATATTCTTTAGGCCATTCGTCGGGTTTTCATTATCCCAATCCAGTTATATCTACCACACCCTTCGGTCGCAACAAATCAAACTAGTGAGTTTTGTAGCATTATAACATGTCAAGAAAAGTCCATTTTGAATTTTTGATTGTTTCCAGTATTTATTCTCGTGTTTTATTTTTGTTTCAATATGAATTTTTCTTACTTGCTTTTATTTGGCGTTTTGTTTTCAGTGTCTATCATATTATTAAGAAAATAAATGCTGAAAATTAATTTACATGTTATGCGGTGTGATAAATATGCAAAGTTGTCATATGCAGTAGATAGTAGACAGTTTTTCATTGAATTGTTTGATTTTCGAAACTGTTTGAAGCACGAATACCTATTTCTACGAATCAAGCAGCGGCCATTTTGTTTGCAGAGTCGCGCTTGGTGCTGATGTCCGTATAAAATGAATCACAGATATGTAAAAGCAATCGGGTAGTTTGAGACCGAAGACCGTTTGTGTCGTAAAAATAGACGTCAGAAAATTGAATTAATAAGCATTTTTGGTTTTATTATCTTTAATATCGGCTGATCAAAGCTTTTAACATAATGTCAAAAGTGTAATACAGAATAAAGTAGCAAACAGAATTTGAAATGTCTATCATGAAATATGGCTTAGTAAAAAATAATCCAAGTTCAAAGGTGCCCGAGCATAAACTTTGGTCGACTTAGCCATATAAATACATAAACTTCACATTAAGCCACGTCAATCCCAAATGAAGATCAGAGAGAATTTGTCGGCGATGAAAACAACAGGGAATTAATCCAAACGAATTACATGATGCTAAATTAAAGTTACATAAATTTGGAGTGATAAATAAACGAAAATTTTTCTGACATTGCACTTATTGAATTCCGTGGTGTGTTATAAATTTAAAATTGGTCTCCAAAACATTGCCGAAAAATTATGTTTAATATATTAAAATACATTAACGTAAATTTATAAATTTGAATTAGTAATATTTTCATAAAATGCCGTTAAACAGTTCTTACAAGTTAAACTGGTCGTGAGATTGTATTCCAGATGCTGATAACTAAGAAAAGTAAACATACAGGTGCAAGTTTCTAGTTTTTGAAGTTCCTCTTACATCCGTGTTGAAAATTACAGCATTCGACTATGTTCTGTTTGAATTACAAAATAAAGTTAATTACCAGATTCGCGGATTTAAAAACATCAGTTGAAAAGCAGTGAAAATATTTTAATATTGCGTTCCTCAGCAGTGGAAGGGCGTGAAGTGTTGTGTCATGTGATATTTGAAGACCGGCAATCATACTTTTTCTCCAAACGTATGGTTTAGTGAAGTTATCTTGTCTATATTTTCTTTTTATAAATTCACCTTGCCCAGTAATACTAGGTTACGAGTGTCAGTAAAATTGCACTGTGTTAGATTACGAACAAGATGTTTGATGTAAACAACAGCAAACTTAATAAACGGGGCCATGATAATAGTATGCTTACAAATACAGAGAACAGGATCACAAAGGATTTAACAAAGGCCACCGGAATCACGCTGAACCAACGGATCGTAGCGGGAGCGTAGGCCAAGCTATATTAAAAAAGTAAAATAAATTTTATTCAGAATCTGATTATACTACATTCCGTATATTCTAACTCATCATCCGTTCATATAATTTTGTTTGGGTTTAAAACGAATTTGAACTCGTTTATTAAAATATAATTAACAGATAAATGTTCTATTTCTATCCCGTCGTTGATGATAGAATTTGGTAAGGCATTTAATCTGTATTCGGTTTCCGTGATATGTGGAAAAGGCATGTTGTGAAGTTTGCATTTACAGGACTCACAACTCGTGTGAGGTCTAAACTTCATTATGTTCTCGCTATTTTTAGAAAAAGCAGTTAGATAAACTACATAGGTTGGTTTGTTGTGTCATCCTTTTAATTTGTCATGAAGCCATCCATCATCCGCCTCCATAACAACACGTCTAAATATTATTATATTCAAAATGCCTATTAAATTAAGAGTGTTTTTAGTATGCGGTGTCTGTCCAATACTAGACACGAAACAACACAGAAAAATACTGCTGTATGAAGATCACGGCATTTTATAAGCTGATTTTACATCGAATCATCAAAGAGTTCGTGACCGCATAATTCTGCAAATCTGCCTGATATTTGCAATTGACGAAAACAAACAAGCTGAAAAACAAGCACTTAGGTCAAATTCCACCATAAAGAACAATTTCAACTTGCCAGTTTTCATTGAGATTTATAATTTGTCCTTTAAATGCACTTCGTACAAGTCCAGTTTTAAATGATTTATTTCTTTAAGTTGACAACAAAATACGCCGCCACCCGCAACTAGATACGAAATCAAAATATTGAGACGATTTAGGAATTAATATTAACGAGTATCTAAGTTTGATAAAAGATGAAAATATATTTCGAAAAATAACTCAATTTGGTTATCCCACTAGTAAATAATAATGAAATATTATTAGTAATATATATAATGTTTGTCAAGTAAAATATATTAAATGTTGCCCAGGGGGTAATATCATTCACAAATTAAGTAGATGTTTTATTTTATCTAAGTTATTTTTTATAAAATAGATGGTAAATTGAGTGTTTTAGACAATTTCTTACTGAAATTTGCATTTGAAATTAATATCCGTTTTTATATATTTTTTGTTTGGAACTATTCAAATAAGTTTAAATTTTTTTTTAGGTATGCATCTGATTAAATTACCATTCGTATTATAATATTTTGATAGTTGTTGTCTTCACGCGACTTCGTTGTATACTCGACAGATTACAGAATAAGTCGCTCTAATAGCCGACGATTACGTTGTCATAACAAATCGCTAATTATCGTCGTCAAGTGGACAACAAATAAAATGCGTGTGTCCATCCTCGTCATTTTTGTCTATTGTTGGCAATGGTCGGCAAAATTACCAAGTATTTTATTCATTTTATATCTAAGTTCTTCTGGAACGTATCTCTCCTTTTTAATATATTTTATCAATATTCACAAAGTTTTGCCTCGATATTCAACTCTGTACACTCAAAATATTTATCTGGATACGTGGTCAATTTTTTCAGTATTTCAGTAGATAACATGCATGCTTTAAGATTAGATTTTAAAAAAGTCTTATGTATATTTTAGTGACTGCTCAATGGTTTGTAGGTTTTTGTCCATACTACATAACGCAATACAAACTATTAGAAACATCTGGATATACGATAGGTGTTTTGGTCATATGTATTTATATATTGTCGTTCTCTTAAGCTCCTTTAATGCTAGATACGTCAATAAACATGTAATCATAAACTGTAGCGACTCCATTCATTAACTTATTCAAACTAATGATTGGCGAGAAACTCGACAAAGGAAAAAACGTATAAAGAAAAGCAGAGTTGTGGCATACCACAAAATACACCACAGCACCTCCCTCATAAAAACGAATATTTAACAAAACTTTAACAATTACAATCAGTAAACTGTTACGACACCCTCAACCAATTAAAATTTAAATCCATCTGGTCGGTTTTCTCTGTCGAAGTGGGCAATGTCTTCAGTTAATTTTGGCGATTTGTGTCAGGTTTGGCAGTTTGTTGGTTGCTGGTGTTCGACCCCTATGAGATTCCGGCAAAAGAAGACTCAATTTTTGGATGGTTTTATTATTGGTATCGTTTTGTATCTGCTATCACCACTTTAAATTTACTTGCTCTCGTATAATTTATTCTACCCAGACTATTCGGCGCCGACCTAATTATTGTAACACCTTGATGTTTTGTTTTATTTATAATAAATCGACATTAACAATGTTGAAACACAGTAACAATTTGTTAATGTGTGTTTATATTAATTCGATTGCTTTGTTTTACAAGTTACGAAGTTGAAGTCGGGCTAATCCTTGCGATAAATCTTTTAAATTCCAAACATTGTACTTCATACGTTTTTCAAATCAATCTGGCTAAATTGGTCGCAATGGATTAACTTAACTCTTTAGCAGAATACAGTTCATGATGAACAACTTATGAATCAATTTGCATTTGTCTTAAAGGCATAATATAATGGTCAAAATTATGATTGATATTGTATTTTCATTCCATATACAAAATTTAGCCTGTCACAGTGCATTACAAAAATCACTGCTGAATTTGACATTGAAATTTCAAGTTTTTCTTCCATCAAACTCGATGAAAAAACCCGACAGAGTCTTATAATTCGAAGCAGTCTATATACCCACGAGACATTTTTGACAACATGTGATATCGACGCCCGGGGATTAATATTAAAAATCATCATAATTCCAAATAATCCTTTACACGTATCAAACCTAATCCGATGCCAGCAGGTAATAATATGTGAATTGTAGTAATTTCAATGCAAATACTAAAAGATGTACGTGCATAAAACGCATCTTTCTTATTGCTTTCGATTCGCCTATATGATATGATGCTGTTTAACTCTGTCCCATGTTTTTCAAACAGTGACGGTAGTTCCCGATTTGACGATTACGCACTTCACCACGAAAAAATAAAAATAATTTTTATCAGAGCGCCATTTCAATATTTGGACAAATTCAAAATATTAATTGCTCGTATATCTGTGCGAAATTGAAGCTTCGGATACATCGCCAATGGTACCAGCCAATCGTCAAGCTTATAACTAGTTATGGATAATTTTAAAGAAGGAATTGTAATGCCGATGAGTCGATAATTTGGGTGGACGCGATGTCTTTCTGGCTAGTCTTGAACTATGTTGGAATCAAAGATTAAATATCTCCGGTTTTAATCGTTACGCCCACCGAAGTGCAACAAATCCGGTATCAAATCCCCAGCAAGGAAATATTTCGGCGTTTCCAAACCTACTAACGCCAGTGGGGTTCGTCTTTTTTTGAAAGAAGAAGTGAAAACATAACATGAAAATACGAAAGCAAATCAAAGTTGGTGCAAAAATCCGATAAAATTGTCTGTCAGACATAACTGAGATATAACTAAAGAAAAGACTAAAAAGTCGCCCCAAAGTCGTTCAACATTGAAGTAGTTTCAAGATTGAGTGAGGCTCGAGAAATGTTGTTTGTGACACTAATGACGATGTATGTTGTCTGCTTTAATGACAATGTGACCGCTTATCAAGTTTTCTTCCAAGCGGCACGGTACGTTTGTGTCTAATTAGGTATAGTCAATGACCCTTCCGTGAGATGACCGATCACTGAGTCACATCCATAGTCATATGATACATGTTCGCAATGCTTTC